TATAAATTCTACCTTCGCAAGTTCGTGATCTAGTCCAAAATAAAACACATAATCTCTACTGGAGCATGTAAAATCCGTGGCTGATCTCATTGCTTGAATCCCACCTATCAGAAAGGATCGCAATTCGTTTTCTTCAAAATTTTGCCAGAGCTTTATGGAATAAGTGGATTTGACATCAACCAAGCAATAGCATCTGACCTAGCTGGAACATGGGTAGTTTCAAATGGTGCAGCTACTGTAGATTCTCGAAATTTCAAGCGAAGTCTGACCGGGTCTACCAGTAATTCTCCGTCCACCTCGAAGTAGTCGCTCGATTCTAGGCCTTTGTAGTAGGATAAACCCAGGAATTTGCTAACGGCTAAATCTTGCAACTTGATGTATAGACCAATGAGACAGAAAACCTCATGGTGAGATGGAAGCAAACAAGGGTTAAGAGTTGAGTACAAAACTGGCCAGTTTAGGATTTTTTTACCTCAAAGTAACCCATCTTTGTACTTTTTTCTTAGGATATTCCGAAGGCAGCTGACCTGCTATATTTAATACGGGAACTGCTTGAGCACTTCTTCAATTATTAATCCTAAATCACGTTCACCAAGTCTCACTTCCTCCGTATCCTTTAGATAGTCAGTGGACATGTTCGACTCTCGATAAATCTTGGCATAGCTTTGCATTAATTTTATAAGATTTTAATAAAACCTGCTGCTAAGATGGTGAATATGTTCTTATCAACTTACGTTTCGGCGTTATCGCCTTCTTCAGAGTTGTAAACTTAAAGATAACCGCTATCCATCCCTCATTCAACAATTCAACTGCAAAAACCTTTTGAAGTTGAATTGTTGAAAGAAGGCGATATTGCCGAAACGTAAGTTGATAACAACATATTTACCATTTTGGCAGCAGGTTTTATTAAAATCTTATGAAATTCGGAATCACTTTCCTCTAAATTGGAAAAATCGCTCACTCCAAATGGCAGGGAGACGGGCGTTAGGAACGATTTTGGGTAATCGATTCGCCGCNATTGCCGAAACGTAAGTTGATAACAACATATTTACCATTTTGGCAGCAGGTTTTATTAAAATCTTATGAAATTCGGAATCACTTTCCTCTAAATTGGAAAAATCGCTCACTCCAAATGGCAGGGAGACGGGCGTTAGGAACGATTTTGGGTAATCGATTCGCCGCACGCGGCTGTCGCAGACCACTCATTCGCCCTTATTACAGCTCTAGCACTCTTCATACAGCTCAATCGATATGCGATCATTATTTTATGCATAATTCTACTATTAGTACTTTTGTTCTTGTATTTCTTACCTACTGCTGCATCCTGCTACATTCCTTCGCGCGCGACGCCCCTCTCACCGCAACGCGACCATTTCGTTCCTAACGCACCACACCCCAAATGACATAGATCCATATGTATGGTGTGACGTGTAAGAAAAAAGTCATAATTGACCTTCTGGTATCATATCATTCGCCGAAGAAATAGGTTCAAGGTTATGATTACCTAGCCTAATGATAATTCATTTGACGGAAGCTTTGCTGTAAAACTTGTGAACGATTCGCAAGTAATTTATAGTAATTCATCGAAGTCTGCGTGACTGCATGATTACTGCCAAAAAATACTTATGATATAAGGTGAATATTACTGTGACACCTGAATTTTTTTGCGAATCGCGCCACGCACTTAATTCTATCAAGTAATGCATTTTCATTTGTTAACTCACCTTGCCTATGCCACAAAGGACCAGTTTGTGCTATTTTATTTGAAATAAATAGGTGGAAATGGTGTGGAGGCAACTGGCACACTATCTCACGAATTGTTCGGGGATCGAATCCTTGGTCTATCCTATCAAGCATTCGATCCTAGGGCAATTCTTGTGATACTGTGCCCCTGCCCCGGCCAATCAAGCACTTCATCCTTACGGGGTGGATTAATTGGTACCTTACTGGCCCTATTATAAATCGAATGCGGTGTGCTTCCTGGAACCAGTCAACGCTGAAAACTTTATCCTTTTCATCAGAGTAAATTATTTCGACTCTCTTCGCACGTGGGGCGCGAACCAATTCATTGTCTCAGTAGATGAAGAAGTTCAATCGGCTTATACGAAATTAGATCCCATGAGTGCGACAATCGCCCTCTCAGCCACTGCTATAACTCTGCTCCTGTTCGGCCGACATATTCAGTGATTTTGACGAACGAGGGGAGAAAATGGAGCCTCCGCCCGACCTCCAGTTCGAACTTCATTACGGTAACCTCTTAAGGTTGACGACGATGCATACAGACAAGTAGTCGTGTACCTCGTAGAAACTTCTAGAAACAAGCAGCGGGGAACGTAGCACCCATGCAACCACTTGACCGTATGAAGGCCTTACGAAGCCTCCTTGGTGAGGAGTACTCCCCGTACTGTTTCGCCCGTTTCCGTCCACTACAAACATCATTGGAGCTTGTCAAACGAAATGGCGATCAATCAATCCCATACCATCAAGAATGACGAGAATGCCATTTGATTGGCGTGAGCATAGACGACGGTGGACGGTCACAACCAGACACCATGGAAGCAACCGGATGCGACAAGCATACCGGTCAATTAACAGCCTGAAAACCCTTCACGTTTGTTACACAACAGTTGAATGGCATTGAAGCATAGAGAATACAAGGAATCCGTAAGCGTACGGTAGGTGTAGGTGAAGGTGGAGGTAGGATGAGATCAAAAATAGAAGTTTAGCAGTCTGGAATCTCGTTCCGACCGTGATCATGCTATCACTTCTACTAGCCAGTTGTAACGAAGACTGTCAGCATGGAGAGTTCATTGAGAACCCTAGGAGATTGAGAGGTCTGGGTGACAACTGAAGAGTCGATACTACAATGCTGAATCGATTAGTATTTCTAGTTATCAATTATATAGACCGCTTCACCACGTCCAATTGATTTAATCGATTCCTTCTGATAAAATTACTCGATTGCGAGCTTTACCCAGTAGGCCAGCCGTATGAGCTTGGTCGCTCAAATTTTTGTGAAGACTAGTCACCCTGCCGAAGCCTCTATCAACCCGGAGGGAAAAGGATTGCATGGCGCATACCGAAAAAGTAGAACGAGTGTCAGGGAGCGAAAGTAAGCCCATAATACTTCGCCACAGCCAAACACTCAATTAGATGAATCTATCCAGAAATGGAACGTCACCTGAAGGGCGGTACTAAAAGTAACCGAACGGAGCAGCCAAATGAATCGAATGAGACGAAGTGACACTTCTACTTTCCTTTTTTTTTTAAAGTTTTTCAAACTTTTTTACAGTTGGTCTGTTTCGGCCCTGAGTTGATCCACCACATTTTCGTCGTTATTTTGGAAGGTTCCCAACCGTAGACATAACACTGCCCCACTACGATTGTAATTTAAGCGAAGCCCTAATAACAGCATGCGATCTATGATCGTAGCCAGGTTCCTTTTTGCAGTGGAACACCAAAGATGGAACTTGTTACCATCGGGAACTTTGATTGACGTACTTTTGTTTTCTACTTGACCTTGACAATGCTTGGCTATTACGTTGATGAGAACGCTTACACCCTTCGCTCAAGGACACCACAGCCTGTCAGAACAATAGACCAATGCTTTCCCGACAAGAAAGCAACATGAAGCATGAAGGAATAGGGATGCCACCGTTGGCCGATTTTTCATTTGCTGTTTTGATAGACCCCCTAAGGAGCATTTTTCAGCTTTGTATGACACATGTATTGCGGAAATTAATGGCTGTTTTCAAATTCTGCACAGTTTTGGCTCATTAATTACCGACTGTTTGCAACTTTCGACTAAGGTGTCCATGGGAGACCTTGTCTAACCAAGACAAATGAGGCGGCTCCATTGCATAAGTTGTCAACGCTCTCCGGACTATGAACAGTGATGAAGTGCATGGCGCACTCCATACATTCAAAAGCATCATGCGAGCGAGAAGACCGAGGGAAGCGACCGGCAGTTTCTTGACCCCCCAAAAGTGGTAGTCCACAACAGGTTCCCCTAACCACGCATCTCTGCCAGGTGACCAATTTGAGCTGATTCATGGCACTTTCCAGAACACTTAGTTAGCACACGGTGCTTCAACTCTCCTTCATTGATCGGTCAACCGTTGGTTACCACTCCCTTCGAGAAGTACGGTATTCATTGGACTCAGTGATAGGATAAAAGCACTGACTTGTACATCGGCTTGCCTCTGCAAGTCATTGTATAGCACACTCGTTCATTGCGCCACTACGATTCTGGATGGGACTCGAATGCGAGGCGCATCCCTCGGAGGGATTGATCAAAGCTTTATCCTTCATCCTTTAAATGATACGTGTGCATATACAGGCCCATTTACGGATATCAATACATCGTTGCTTGGAATATTCTCGAAATTGGTAAAAGCTAGATTACTTGAGAATCGAATCGCTATCCTCCCAGTACAGGCATTTGATGTACCTTCCTGAAAGATTACCCGACAATGGAATTTCTTGTCTATCAGAGGCAGTTAAACTATAAAAAACTATGGCTTAACTATTACTATCAATTATAACTATCGATTACTGCTATCAACTATTAGTATCAAGTACTACCATCAACTATCACTGTAAATTACTACTGTCAAATATCACTATCACTATCAAAGCATATGATCTTTCGCCACTAATCTTTTTTTTTACTTCTTTGTTCCTTCTTACTTTTCCTTTTATCTATTCTGACATTGGATTAGCATAGCGCCTAGCTTTTGACTATCTATCCAGCTGTAGGTCATTTTCAAGTGAAATAAACAAATAAATAAATAATTTAATTAATAACCATGAAATAGCAAGTGAAAAGTTAGAGCAAACATCCTCTCTCGAATCGTAGTCCAATGTCTTCAAAATCGCAATCATTTTTGCGGGAGTTTTGTAACTTTATGCCTGACATCTTCCTCATTACAGGTTCTCATGAAACGCTTCTTATTCGATGTATTACCGCTTTCTATGGTCGTTGGGCACTTTTTGTGGCGAATCATACGGTCATCATTATCGTCCTCTGTACCCTTCTGACTCTCGTCGGTACCTACAAAGTTATAACTACTCCGTGAGTAGGAATAGCATTTTATGAAGAGTTTTAAACATTTCTTTCGTCATCAGATTCACTCACGAAATACTTTCACAACATATTACCTGGGAACGAAGTTGCAGAGATCCTTTTATTAGTTTGTAGGGGGTGCGCTCTTCGGTCTCTTACGCGTGCGGTCGCGAGGCGGTTGGCATACGGTCAAAGCTACAATATTACCCTTGTATCCCAGGTAAAGGTGAAGAAGGGTGCAAAGGAGTTACGGAGAATGTGACACTGCAGAATTTCCCATGAGTTATCTGATCGTGAGTTGGGGGATTGGTAAGTTGTAACATCGGGTACCTGTTGGACCATGACACCTAGCACAGGGATCGTCTCGCGTCCCTGGCCGGTCCACCCTCACCGGCGATCAGTGGAATACAAGACTGATTAATTTGACGAAGTGGGCCTGGTAGTGTGTATTATGCTCCCTATAGCCACTGAGAAAATATTTTTGATATTTCCTTTTTAGGAACAAGTTCTTGTTGAACTGGTTCCAACAATAATCGATTCATACAGTATAATAACTTTCCATTTCATCGATGTTTTCAAAACGGAATGGTTGAATGTAATGATGACAATGACTCGTTGTAGGAATGAGAATGACATCACCGGCTACACACCCTATGGGGCGCGGGCACGCGATGAGCTCGACGTGGGTGGCTATTTTTAACTTGTTTTTCTAATCGTTTTTGTTGTAAACGAATACGTTAAAAAAGAAGAAATTCCAAGGGAAACATCAGATATTCAGGTAGCGGGTGAATTCTTCTCGAAAGGTGGTAGCAGTATATCTGTTTTCGTGTTGATACTGCCGAAAGATGGTGGAAATGCTTTACGGGAAGACGTTTTGACAGAAGCTGCAGAGGTAATTCATTGTATCAGTGATTTTCATTGAATTTGAAGTGATTATCATTGTTTTCATTTCCTGTTTTTGTTTTTGTTTATACTCTCAAAGACAACTACATTGCTTACGAGCTCTCTTAGAATGATAGGGAAGGCAGGGTAGTGGACACTGGGAGACGGGCGTTAGGAACTATTTTGAGTGATCGATTTGCCGCACGCGGCTGTCGCGGACCACCCATTCGCCGTTATTACAGCTCTAGCGTTCTTCATACAGCTCAATCGATATGCGATCATTATTTTATGCATAATTCTACTATTAGTACTTTTGTTCTTGTATTTCCTACCTACTGCTGCACCCTGCTACATTCCTTCGCGCGCGACGCCCCCCTCACCGCGACGCGACCATTTCGTTCCCAACGCACCGCACCCCGAGAATATCATTAGTATGAATACTTAAAACAGTTGTTTAAGGTTTACACGGGTGATCTTAGAAATAAGGGGCGCTACGGGTTACCTATCGAAGACCAGTAATGCACTCCACTTTGTACTGTCCCCGCTGTAGTCTTGAAAAACTGAGCGGCCAGGGGGAGCACCTACTCAAGGGCAGACGAGAGGAACGTCATGAATCACTTTTTTGACGTGGAAATGAAAGATGAGATAAAGTGTCGTCACGCCCTGTCCCGGATGTATGCTTGGCCTCTAAGCAAGTTCCAGTAACGTACCCTATTCGAGCTGATATTTTTGTGTTCCCACATAATTTCGGTCCAATTTCGGTTCGGACCACAAGTCCCTAGATAGGTGACTTAGCCTGAGAAGAACAGGACCCCTCGAAGATTCAAATGATAGTCGGTGCTTTGTCCCACAACCTAGCCGACGCTCGCATTACTTGCATAAAACTGGTTGGTCGGACGAACAACCATGGAAGCGGTCACAATTAATAACCCTGAATGACTTCGAACCTTCACCGGAACTTATATCAATCAAAGTTGGCCATTTACGATCGATTCAGGCTCTAACTGTCAGAGAGAATTCTCGTAACCTGGAAGGGAATAGGCAAACAGTAGATGGGAAGGTTTCCTCTGTCCAAGGAGAAGGACGAATCTCTACCCGTTCCCCGCAGTGGGTATCAGACTCGTCTGGGTGAACAAAACCCATAATTCGCTTATAAGTAGAACTCGTACTTGAAAAGAGCTTGCCTGGGAAGTACTGAAGAAGGGAATCTGAGAAAACGGAACGCCAGTAATAGGCTGGATCTTAGAATTGCAATCGAAGCTCTGCTGTAAGGCTTCGTGATTATCTGATTGTGTTTTGAAGCCCCGTTCTGGCAAAGGAGATTGAGGTACTTACAGGTGGAGCGGATACTCACGACAAACTTCACGATTTTGAATCCACTAACAAATCGTTCAGAATCGTACAGGGAATTTTGCTTCAGTTTCTGCCAGATCAACGAGCCCTTCATGCAATTCGTGGTCAGTTTTTACCCTTTATTTTCTTGCTCTTCATCGACATTCCCCTTACTGACCCTTCAAAGGTGGATCCATAAGACCCCATTATTTGAGTAACTTTTGATTTTTGAGCTTTTGTGAGTGAAGAAATCTTTTTTCTAAGCTAAGCTCCTTAAATGGTCGTGAAGTTCATCACCAGCCGCTCAAAGCGTTTATACTCACCTAGCCGAGCTCGGATCAGAATTTTGCGTCAGCAATTAGCTATACACCTAGGGTGCTCGTTAGTATACCTTGAAATCCCTGTCAAAAAGGTTCTGCCCAGTTCGCCACAGCTCATCGACCCTCATCTTCAGCTCAACTTTAGTCAGATCTAAGGGCTCTATTTCCAGAATGGCTTCATCCTACAAAAATCCTTAGCCGAAGGAGGTGTTGCAACAAATGAGAGGATTGAATTGGCATATCCAATCAGTACATTCTACAATCGACGGATGAACATTCAGGTGGGTATACTTCAGCGGAGGAGTTCTCGAGTCACTGAAGAATATTTAGCAAAGCAAAATTGTTCTAGCCACACTTTTTCGGATTGGAGTTCAGTGAAAACATAACCGAGGAAGCGGAAGCAACGGAAAATTCGACAGCTGTCGTAGTAGTGAAACGAAATCCGAAATTGGTTTCAGCCAAGGTAACTGATTTCTAAGAATTTTCATTGTTTTTTTGAGCTTCTTTGCGTTCCCATAAAGATACCTCGGTAAGGGTCTAGCTAATTTCCTAGTTCTGAATGGCTATTTGAGTAGAATGATGCGCTAAAAAACGTTTCCTGTAGATTCCATGATGATTGACGCAGACGTCCGGCCAAAACGGACGAGGTCTAACGGAAGTACTTGGCGTCTTTAAGTCTCTCTTGGATTTTTTCTGGACCTTTTCGGTTCAATACTTCATAATATTTTTCTTAGGCTGAGGTTTTTTCTTTGAGAGCCAACGATCTAGCTTTCAATGGTCTCAAGATCACTTTTAACCAACCATAAGTGCAAGCCGCCCGGAGCTCTGTAGGAATGGCCGATAGCAGTCGAAACGGGTACTGTTTGGGTGCCCAGTAATATTAGAGAAATGAGTTGATCACCCAATTCCGAGTCGGGTGTTTCACACAAAAAAGAATGGATCAGACACGCAATATCCTTCTCGAACAATCTACATGAAGATAAGCCTTGCATCTGCTAAAAGGCGTCGAAATGTTTTTGAGGAATTCAGAAAACGACCTAATGTCATTCTTGTGTGAATTTAGATGCTAGCACTTCAATTACGAGCCGAACGGAAAGAAGGATGGACTACACAAATGGTGAAAGATTATGAGAACAGCATCACAGCATTCTTTGAAGGGTTGGTTCACTTTCCAAGGATTTTTCCAGGCAAACCTAACTTTTTTTTTGTAAAAAAAATCGACTCACCTATGATTGACCTCTTGGGTTGCTCCATGAACTTGACTTCTTGCAATATTGCTTAGAGTATTATAAGTGTTTCAGTATGGCTGCAAAGGATAGGGTTAAGTCATGGCATAGAAGGGAGGGTTGTAGAGGAGAATGATACAAAAAAGTCTGAAAATATATTGATATCATCTCCCACGGGCTACTTTTGTATTCAAAGTTGAATCTTTCTGAGTTCCCAGTTTTCCTCTGCTGCATAACTTTTAATTTAGTGACCTATTACCATGATATTAGAGAAAATTTGTTTAGGGTCCAATGTTCCGCTTGAATTCGCTTTATTTCAGAGAGTACAAATCGCCAACGATACGAATCCTCACCCTTTCAACGACATACGTTGAAAATGAAGTAAGAATTTTTGATTATTTCAATCTTTTGCAACGTTTGTGAGAAGCAAAAAAGCCCTTAATTAAAATAAAAGTAAAAGTATCCAAATTGGAGGATTGTGATATTCTGAATTGATATTTTCGACATATTTTCAACCGGAGAGTGTCATCTTTATTCCAGCTATAACGAGATACCCTTCACTTGAGGATTACGAAAATCGTCCTTTTTTCTCGATTTCTTGATTTCAGCTACCCGCAAATCGTTCTATTTCAGGTAGTCCGAGCAGGAATGAGTCTGCTACCGTTCTTGGGTGTCGGCTTTGCCATTATGGCATGTGTATCGTCATTGACAACGTTTATGAGCGCAGCATTCATGGGTCAAACTAGTATTCATAAGGTGAGTTGATTGAGTTGGAGCCCTGTAACCCCAGCTACAACAGTAATCGAAGGTTTTCAGTTCGCCTTAGCCATCATGGCCTGCATTTGCCCATTCATGGCCTGTGGCACTGCTCTCGGTGCCTTGTTCTTCATCGGAGTTCGCTTCGGCTCCATTCTATGCGTGACACCGTTCCTTGTTCTGGCCATAGGTCAGTATTTATAATAACGGTAGTAACGATGTAACAATAATAATAATAGTAATAGTTATGGACGGTGAGGGCGTAGTGGCAGTGGAGCATTTCACACACGCATGGTCACGGGTTTGAATCCCGGATAGATCTCCGCCTAGGCCAATCAAGCCTTCCATTATTCCGGGGTCGGGTATTGGTACTGGACTCGTCTGGGAGGATAAAAGCACTGACTTGTTCATCGGCTGGCCACTGCGAGCATGTTATATACCACATTTGCATTTATTACGCCACTACGATCTTACTTAGATGGAAGTTGAGTGTGTGGGCGCATCCCCCAGATCGATTATAGCCCAAGACTTCATCCTTTATCCTTATTAATAATAATATTAATAGTATGGGTTCTGGCTTGATAATACTGTTAATTGCTATTATTTCGCCACAGTAGGCGATGTCTCACAATGTTGGCAAGATGTAAGCAAAACTTCGGCTTCGGCCGGAACTCGAACCAGCCACCCATCAGTCCTGTGCGACACTTTCGTAACCGCACTTTACTTGGCCGCTTGCGAAATATTGCGAACGGTAGGGTACCCTCTGAAAGATGTAAATAACGAGTCCTTGCTCAAGTGCAGCGAGTACAGTTCAAGTTGATGATACTTTTCGTCGACCAGTTATTCAATACCAGCACCTCCCAGAGCACTCCTTGAGTAAGGCAAAGATTTTAATTCCTTGTAGTATAACGAGTAGCGCAGACCATAGTTGAAGTACGATGCGTTCATGAAAGCAACCTGATTGAGTTTTTCGACTGGATGCACGAAGTTTTTGCTCGAGTTGTTGGAATTTTTTCTGAGATAAGATCTGATTATGGCCAACTATAATTTTCAGGCGTAGACGATGCCTACTTGATGATTCATTCATGGCAAAGAATCACAAAGGAGTTGAGAGAGAACCCAGTCAAAGGAGATTGCGCTGCTTATCGACTAGCTCAGGTAGGAGCGAGCTCATACTACCCATTCTAGCTCTAGAGGCCATTTCGAAGACCAGATGGAGAGCAGATTCAAAATCGCTGTAAACTGGTATGTCAAAGACATATGTATAGTCAGATTCCTGTGATTGAACTCCACTTTTTGTTTACTCAATTTCGGAATCCTTCCTGCCTTGTTCCAAATCCCGTTTAATCATCACACAAGGGGAAAGACCACTGTAAGCTAAACAAGTGTTTTATCCTGATGTTTAAGGTCCTATCAGACACTGGTCCAGCAATCATGATCAGTGCTCTAACGAATATGTCAGCTGATGCTGTTGGAGCATTTACGAGTTCACCAGAAATCACATTACTCTGCTACGGTAATGCCGCCTGTATACTCTGCGACTTTATCTATCAGGTAAGGTATCTTCGAGATATTGAACTTGGAATTGTTTTTTCGGTCGCTGAACTCTGCTTTGTACATGCTCTTCCCATACCCACCTTTGTAATCCTTAGCCCACATGGCCAATTCCCACATATTGAACTTTGAATTTTTATTTCATATCAGTCTTAGCTGACATAGTTTACGGATCTGACCGTTTTGTTGGCAATAGTCTTTGAAAGCATTAAGGGACTTTGCTGTCGATTCACACGACAAGTTCAGGTGTCTGCCGTATTTCCGGGATGAAATTCCGCAATTTCTAGAACTCTCTTACAATTTTTCTTTCAGCTCTGAGGAGATATCCATTAATTCATGCTCTTCTTCACTCCGTCTCACTACCCTAGGTGTTGTGTAGAGGGAAAGAAAGGAAGCTAGAGAGAAACGAATTTTCTGAAAAGCATTACCAACTTTTTAGATCACTCTCTACAGCGCTGTGATGGTCCTTGTAGGGCAATTTGAAATTGACAACGAACGGAATTACACTCTGACTCAACGACTCGAATGCGGTGGGGAAGATGTCGCCGGCAGCTTGGACAAGGTTAGTTTTTTACTATCCTTACCATACTAGAGGCATTTATAGTATAAACAAAAACGGAACTTCACTATCTCTCTCTATCCACCTTTTCAGTCATCAATATTGTCGTTCCGAGATCGATTAAACGACGGGTTCAATTATTTTCTGGATAACTACGTCAGTGTTGTAACCAATAAAGTATTCGATCTGGCCATGATCATTGTTTGGGTGATTTTCCTGTTGATTTCCATAAAGGTAGGTATAGGGAGTGTTTCCTTAACAGTTTTATTTACTTAATCGTGCTTCAACTGGTTCATCGTAACAATTGTCTTAACTTTCAGGGTATCACGCAGATGCCAATCAATCTGACGCCGAAGAAGCTTTTTTCGCTCGACTCTTCTCTTGTTGAGGTTTGACTTAACTCTGAAACGTCTACCAGTCCAGGGGGCCCTTTCTTAGGCACAGATTCGTTACCGTTACTTTGCTGCATTAACCATGTTCGTAAATAGCGTACATAACTTACCCATCCAACTGGAAGTCTCACTTGCCTGGCCTTGAAAGCTTCGCCCTGCAGATGCCCTTACTTAGGTAGAAGCCTTCGGAACGGGTTTGACGGCAACAGCCGGGAATGACATCCGGAAAGCGTGAGGGTGTCGCTCCCTCAGATTCATGACTGTCATTCCTCAACATTCATATTGTACAATGAATTCCTACCGGACAACTTTTTCAGATGGACAACTATCGAGTAAAGTACGTGATACCGTATTTCACTTTGGCCACGGTGTTCGTGAACAAACCCGGCAATCTATCAGATCCAGCTCGTGTGCAACGGTAGTTTTCCCTTTCATATCAGCAGACTGCTGAAAGAAAATCGGAAGGAACTCTTTTTTAGATTAAATGACTTTGTCGCCGAGATGGAATCACTACCTGGTGCCTGGGGAGCACCGAGCTCGAACTATTTCATGAGAGATTTCATCGAATTCGAAAAAGGCATGAGCGAAATAGAAGGCGAAGAAGAAGCTGAAGAGACTTCCGCTCCAAGAGGTTGGACATACTTGTTCTGTTACTGATAAAAATAAAATAGCAATTGCTGAGGAGAAATAAGGCAGTTCACCCTCTACACATACTAATACATTCAGTAAGCAGGATAAAGAAGGCAACGGAGAAAACCAGGGGTGGAAACTCCGTATTGAGAACTGAGTTCCCATTGAAGGTTCTTCTGCTGCTCCAAGCATGCTTCCATTGTTGGACCGCCAGGTATTGCCTGGTGTCCATAACCATACGAATGGTATGGTCACCGAGAAGTATCGGAATATAGAATATTCGAAGCACCACAGATTGTTCTGTTAGGTTGATCACGTAGTGGCTCCATGTCTAGCCCTAATGTTAGATTTGCGAGGCTTTCTTGGAGGGTTAGGAACTGCTGGCTTCACGGTCCAGAAGTGATCTGTGAGCCAATGGCTCGTTTTAACATTTCCCTCAGCCAGATTGTACGAGCTGAGTGTTTTGTAGTGTTTAAATATTATAAAATATAAAATAATTTTACTGGCATACTAAATCAGGCTCTCTTTCGGGATACACCCCGCACGCGACTTCCATTCCGAATCGTAGTGGCGGTTCGGGTTTGTGTGGCCTATGATCTGCAGTAGCCAGCGTATGTATACTCGTCAAGTTGTCTCTCGTCTAGTACCAATTGTTCGACCCTGTAGGTATAAGATGGCTTGGTTGGCCCGATTGGGTACCTATTCGGGATTCGATCTCCTGACCATGCTTGTGTGCTAGGCCATCCGCCACTACACCACCTGGCGGAGAGCAGCTTTACAAAAGTCGGAGGCGTATGTGTATCGCATTCAATACGCATAGAATAGTCAGTTACCAAAAAACGCCGTTCACCATATGACGTGACCGTCACGTTTGCAGTTTTGAAATAACTTGTTTCTTCTACAAGGTATTTTCAAAACAATGTTTTCTAACTTACTTCCGCTCGAAAATGACGGAAATGACATGAGCAAAGTTGCGCCATCTTCGTAGTCATTGTTTTCGACCACACATTTATAAAACAAATGCTGATTGGTCGGGAACCACATAATCAGAATAAACAACCTTCATAGAACAGTCCGTAGACTTTGTGATACAGTAGTCACCTGCATGTAAATAATGTCAAAATAATACTAGACGGTCAAGAAAGTCACGACACGAATACGGTGTCTAAAAAAGGTATTGTTTGGCCTAGAAGAGTGGATAAACTAGAGTCTGTCGTAATGAGCAGGCGCCCAGGCCAGGGCTCACAGTCCGGATTACTGTATCACAAAATTCATGGACGTTGGAACCAGATCGTTAGCTGTCGGCATCTAAGGCCCTCGTCCGAAAAATATGTGATTTTTTTGCATAGTCACGTGCTCTGAAAACATTGGTGCAGAACGGTTCTTTAAAATTTTGTTGAAATAGTTTTTTTTTTCGATGAGCGAGTGAGAGCTGGTTGTTGAAGCAGTTTGACCAAGAAACTGGATTAAATTATTCCAGATCCGAACACTTTGAACTTCAAGGACCTAGCATCATTCCTTGAATGGCCTGAATACAAGTACTGGAGAGGTTTTTTGCGGTTCAAACCCAATACTACGTGAGCGTTCTTCTCTCTTTGTTGACTTTTAATGAATACCGTTATGGCCACAAAAAGCGAACACTAAAATTAGCAAATTTTCACTATACTCTCGATGTCCGAGGGAGATCGAAGAAGATGTTTGTGACATTTCACTACTTTCACATCATTTAGTGGTGAAATTTGACTTGAAGTTCTAAATTGGAGCTTCTACTTGAGGGGTATAAGGAAGGCAATCAGTCGCGTTTCTGTAATGCCACCAAATAAACAGTAATCATCCAGTTGATAATCAATAACCGCGTTGTGTTCAGGGAACTGGAGCGATTCTTCTTCACTACGGCTTATCACGGAGAAGAACTCCGGGAGTGGGTAAGAAGAGATCAAATGCTGAAAGAGTGGCGTGAAGCTGTAGATAAATATAAGTAAGTACTTTCTTCTCGGGACCCGCACACTTAGAGCATACGATATATGTTTAGGCCAGAGTTCAACGTCAGCGTATACTATGATGATGCTATCTATTTGGATTTGATAGAAAATATGCCAACAGACACATGGCAGGTAAGCAGGGCGTGAGATGAGGGGCAGAGGAAATGATATTATTCTGACTCACTGGTTCGTACAACAAATTCGGTGATTTCAGTCTGGTGTAGCCACCATATGCTGTATGGCTATCGTATGTTTGATATTCATGTGGGATCCGTATACGGTCGTGGTAACCACAGCCGTCATTGCAAGTATAATGACAGGTGTGTAGCATCTCTTCGATTACAGTAACCTACGTGCATGGCCGTAACGGGAGACGGGCGTTAGGAACGATTTTGGGTCGTTTCGCCGCACGCGGCTGTCGCGGACCTTTCAGCTCTAGCGTTCTTCATACAGCTCAATCGAAATGCGATCATTATTTTATGCATAATTCTACTATTAGTACTTTTGTTCTTGTATTTCTTACCTACCGCTGCATTCTGCTACATTCCTTCGCGCGCGACGCCCCTCTCACCGCGACGCGACCATTTCGTTCCTAACGCACCACACCCGGCCGTAACCCATTTCATCTAAGCAGTATAGGAACTCTGCGTTGAGTAGATGTGAACTTGTTTATGTCCGATTTCAATCCGATTTTCATTCAGGAATTCTCGGCATATTGTCGTGGACAGGAACGGAACTTGACCCAATCGTCATGGCAGCTCTCATTATATCTATCGGATTTTCAGTGGACATACCGGCTCACGTCTCGTTCCATTACTATGCCGCCGGTGATTTTTTTAATTTTCTAGTGGTTTCCAACACCTATCAGATTCAGTGTACTTGATTGGTCATGCGGGAATCGATAGGAGCCTTGGAGGTGCAGCTGGGTGACCTGTCCCGTATGTTGTTACCTCTGGCAGAGATGGGTAGGAACTCTCACCGCGCGATAACCTCACGGAAAACTTTAGGAAAGGTCCTTCATATGATGCCCAGTAGTCGGCTAACTCGCACGACTCGCACTTGAATGGAAAATCTGTCAAGAAATGTCTCTATCACCTTCTTGTAAACTCGTCCTCTGATATTCTGTCGCCTCTGGTTGATAAGTCAGCCCGCAATGTTATTAGATTATCGGTACAGTTCACGATAAGAGTGGTTCCTGAGATTTCTTCCCAAGTCTTACAGGGTAACGGAACTTCTCCCCGATTGCGGCATTCTCCCTTGCGGCATGCGGCAAATGCCACTGCAATTACCGTACCCACCCCGCCTCCCCGCCAATCGATAGGACGCGATATTTTTCGTTGATTGCCTTGCTTTTTTGTTGGACTTGATCGTTTTTTCTTCCGTTTCTTTTTCGTTTTCATGTTTATTAGACTTGTTTAATTAAAATGACTCCTCCTATGTAAGCGACGATCAGACCGCATTGAAATTGAAGAAAGAGGTCAGCCAGTTCAAATAATTAAAGGACTCCCTACCTCACAAATCGCACGCTCCAATCTTCCATCGCGATCCTGCGATACGCGGCGAGTGCGACGTGTGCGACGCCGTGTTAAGGGAGAAGTTCCCAGACCCAGTCTTACACACCTAAGATGGACGAGTTCTCACGGTCTTGACCTGTGACCTTGACGAGGCTTGAATTCTCATATTTCTCATAAAACGTCTATTTTTCTTCCATTATTCGTCTGAAACTAGATACCTGAGAAGAGGATCGTGAACTGAGCCTTGAAATCATTAACTCTTTTCAATTTTAGCAGCACACCTGTCCCCACCCATCACAGTACGTCGTCGTCTGCATTACTGTCTATCGTCAGTTGGATTTCCAGCCCTTCAGGCATCACTTAGCACGAGTCTTTGCGTACTAGCTCTGCTATTGGTTTCCATCTACATGTCTCAGGTAGGAGTTCATACTTTCTTCCATTTTTGGAGTTTTATTTCCTGACGAATTTCTCTTCAGGTCTTTGTCAAAACGATGATCATATGCATGACGCTGTGCGTATTACATGGTCTGCTACTGATCCCCTGTCTGCTCAGTATTACCGATCCAATCGTCTCCAGATTACAACGTTCCTAAGGTCATGGATGATATGGATGATCCGTGCAATTACTCCTTCTCACGTTCACCTCACCCTGTCTGAGTCCTTTCATGCCCTGAACGTGTTTTATGTTTTAGCTTTATACCTCCGTTTTGTCTCTCCCTTTTGGTAATAATGCGCTTTAAAAGATCGTCTCTATTTCGGAAGTATGTATATGTTGTATAGAAGAGTCCCATGTTACCTTTTTCGCATGTGTTTTCTGTTTTAGGACTATCTTCCCATTCCCCTTTCCTTCCCTCTTTCTAGATGGGTACTGATTTTACGTGCATCATATGATCAATATCTATTCTTTACACGTGTGCGCTTTGAGATCAGAAGTATGGAAGCCGTCTTCCATAGTTATTGTATTATAAATGTGTAACATCGTGAAAAGCACAGACTGGACACCGAGAACCTCCTCAAGCCATCATATCGTGAGTAAGGCGGGCGATGGTCTAACTTTCAACTTATCTTGGTGTATATTTAGTAATAGGACGGAGGAGGTCACTGGTAAGTGGCTCACTTTAGCCACACATAGTCACAGATTCGAATCCCGGATCCATATCCGCTTAGGCAACCAAGCCCCGTCATTACGGGTTCGGTTAACTGGTACCAGACTCGTCTGGGAGTACACTGGTGTGCAAAACTTAGGGACGAGATGGATAATGTAACATAAAACATTGAGGACTTGGTGGAAATAAATGAAAGTGTGAGATTATATTGCTAGACCTATGATGGTTATGCACAGGAAGTTGGACATCCCTTGGTGGAGGAATAGTTTAAATAAAGCGGGAAATACGGCTACCCGCACAAATCGAGGGAGCTGTTAGGTACGAAAAAATTTTTTGTCAATCAGCTAGTTGCTACCAAGTACTGTGGTGTTATCCTTCTATACATCATATCCCGCTGACATCGTCTGGATAACCTGCCACGAGGAAGGATCATCGGGAAACTCGAAAAAGGTCGAAAAAAGACGAACGCTGCTCAGGAACCTGATATCGCTCACAGCTTGTTTCACGTGCACGGGGAGCATTCCGAACCTCTTATACTGCTGCACGAAGGAGAGGAGGTGGTCGACCACGAACACCTACTCTAAGGTAAAACCGCTACATTGTGCAGTGGGCAAGAAGAGATCCACGTCAGTCAGCTTCTTTGATTGCAATATCATTTGACAGGATTTCAGAGCAAGTCATCCCACGCACTACAGTGGCACGACTACTGCACGGTGGCGGTCTCTTCGCCCGACGGCCTCTACGTAGGATTCCTTTGACCCTCGCGAAATGGCGAGACGGCTTAGGGTGGTGCCAGGAGCATACGGACCGACGGGAAATGAGGCCGTTTGCTTTTTCGGATGGGACCAGATTCAGTCTGAGCAGTGATTCTGGACGCACCCTCATGGCCAGAGCTGGGGACACGCACTTCTCTCAGAAACGTTGTGGAACTTGATCGTTCTGGTGATCGAGGTGTTATGGTATGAGGAGGCATCATGCTTCGCAACCGTACTAACCTTCAAATTTTTGAGCGTGGCACCCTTAACAGCCGGCGTCACTGTGAAAAGGAGCCCCTCCCAAAAGTGTATCTTTTCAGGACTGCAGTGAGCCTTGAATTCATTTTTATCGATAACAATGCGCGACCGCATCGAACATCTCAGGTGGAAGAGCTCTTTATACAGGAGGTTATCCAGTGAATGGAGTGACCTGTCCGTCCCCTCTACCTGAATACCATGAAGCACGTGCAGGATCGTTGGTTAGAGGCATTACAGCGCGTCCAAATGCACCAATGACCATCACGCAATTGTCAATTGCGCTGGTAGAGGAATGGGATGCTCTACCGTAATAACTCATTTCCAACCCCATGGAAAGTATGGGATCGCGTTGCAGAGCATTTACTGCTGTCCGTGGTGATCACATACCCTATTCGGAACCGCGTCGCTTTTTTTGAAGTACTAGGATAAGTTGTGAGGAATTATGTGTAATCGGTACCTTTCGATAAAAATGCCTCATTTGCTAGCCCTATTTCGATTTTCTGCCAGTTACTTCCTGTGTAACACCGTAATGGTCCTCNCTTTGTATGGTATAGATTTCATTGAGCTCTGTCGTCTGGCAGAGGTTCAGTGATCGAAAGTTGCTTTCGTCCCTAAGTTTTGCACACCAGTGTATAAAAGCATTGACATGCACATCACGCCACAGCGATCCTGAATGGAAGTCAAATGCGTGGGCGCATCCCTTAGATCCCATCCCATCACGCATCACTCTGCCCTTTATCCATTAATATTTGTTGACATTGGCCGTTAGTTGTGAATAGCCGACAGTTACTGAGGTATTGGCCAAAATGCTGAATAGCTAGCATCAGATACCACTCAACTCCATGTGAGTGAACGTATGCGTGTCTATATGTCTAAATGTTTGAAAGGCATATGCGTGAGAGGTTCTCGAACGTTACGAATGCACAGTGGAAAGGATGGCGAGGGATACGGAGATGCGTAGCAGACGGTGAAATTCGTGTTTCCCTAAGTGACAACGGAAGAGAGTTCGTGGTCCTACCGCGCACTCTGGATCAGGAGATCACTAAGCTCCACCCTAGTCATACTTCTATTTACAGTAGTTCTACAGGAAAGGCGATCCTCACGTAGTGTCACAGGATGAATGCGTTATGGGAGTTTACAGGAAGGATTTGACACTTAGGATCGAAGGCATCATCGAGAACACATCATTTCAGTCCGAGCGCGGTTTCTTTATGCCTCCGAGGGGTTGCACCTTCTCAAAACCCAACGCTATTTCAGGGAATCCATTGGAATGTGAACAGCGTGAAAGTGGTCAAATAGTTAAAGTCAATTACGATCAATTAAAAAAAAAGGCCTGGAATATTAATCGGCTATTAATGGAATGCGTTAGTTATTCTCTTATTCAAGCTATTCTAAATTTCCATTGGTCCATTTTGTCCATTTACATTCCCCATTTTTGCCCATTTTTCATTTTCCACTTCGCTTCTTCCAATGTAACATTGCAAAGATGCATTATTACGCTGAGACTGGGAAGAAACTTGAAGGCACCGTTGACGATAAATTCAGGGTGCCCTTTTTTGACGGGAATTCTTAGAACTACTCTAGAATAAAGCGATAACAACGAAAAAAGCGCAAAAAACGATGAACAAAAAGAAATAGAAAGGGTCAAAAAAGAGCTGGAAAGGGTGTTGGACGAGTTTCACATTGGAAGAACGGCGGTTAAGGGAGTGTTCGGGCGAGTGCATGAAGGCGACGCAATGTCTGCAATAGCAGACAACACACACAAGCAGACAACTCGCTCCAATGCGAATGTGGTGAAGGACTATTAGAACTCGTAGTCAGCCTAGCGAGGGACGGAGGCCTCCCGTCCCCCACTATTCCTGCCCTTATTGTGCCCTATCCAGACCGTTTTCCGACCTCATTCCTGCACAAATAGTATCAGAGGTGACGTCGAACTCAAACCATGTGCAGATCTCCGGTACCACTTTTTCGTGAACAGTGCCTTTATATACGGAACTCTGGATCCTTATACAGATGGAGGGGCCAATGAAGGAGCAAGGAGAAACGCTCAAAGATATTCTCTGAAGGAACCTGAAGCTGAAATCCGAAAAATCAGAGCACAGGTGAAAAATGAGAGAAGTGCTGAATCCAGTGAAGTTGCATTTTTTTTGAATGATTAAGGCCCAAGGAATATAAGGACATTTTTAAAATGAGCAAGACGTGGTCAGACCTCGTATCGTAGGCGTGCTTTGAGCTTCACTGGGGTAGGGAGCTCTGCAGATTGTGGAATACCACTACTACAATCCTCAAATAACGGGGGTTGTCCCTTTTCCCACAAAGAGGTCGTCTGCGATAAGCTCGACTAATCCCTTATAACTAAGGAACGTTCTTCTGCACATACTCTAATTGAATTTACCGTAATTTTTGTGCCTCCTTATAGGTCTTCCTCATGCTTTGCCTTCAAGTCGATGTCGTTAGTGTCGAGGGCGGTTCTGATTGGTTCACCTGTGAGGTGTTACATCCGAACATGGTGAGATTCTTTCCTGAGGCTATCTCAATAAGCCCTTCCCGGACGGATTCGAGTTTTCAAAACATCTCATTCTCGAGCAGCTTCTACAGTGCTAATCGCTGTGTGCGAACAATCTGCCATCGGGATCATGACTAGGTATCAGAGTTATTTCTCTTCAATAGTTTCCATTACTTGTGTAGCTAGCGAAGATGGCACCCTTCCTGAATAGAGCTGAGATAAGAGATCCTGTGACCTACGAGATTTTCTTGTTTTCATGACTGTACCACGTAATCTTCCTAAGGTTCTGCCCATTCAGAAAAACTTTTCTGCTCTCAGCACTCGGCTCCTTCCTCAAGCTCTTCTTTCTGAATGAACTTTTCGAAGTTCTTCTCAGCTCACAACTTCTCGTTCCTCTGGTGTATGTCTTCGAGAGTTTTCCCTTGTTCAGTCATTGAACCTTTGCTTTAGCCACATAAAGGATCTATATAGTTCTCCTTACTTTAAAGGTACGGTTCACGATAAAAATGTTTTCTGATATTCCTCCACAGAATGAATTTGAGACTCCCGCGTATACCATATCTGGCACTATAAGGTCGGAAAACGGTTTAGTTAGGGAGTTATTAAGGCTCAAATATTGGCCCGTGTGTATCCTTGGACGAGTTTCGCAGGCATTGTAGAAGCTACACCGATCGCAAGGGAACCCATGTAGGAAGTTTAAACGGTTTTTCATGACTCACAGCGACAGTGAAGTAAGTGCTGTACATTTCCGGCTTGATGTAGTCAGCTGTTCGCGCAATTGCAATAACTGATATCTTGTCCGAACACTCCCTCCTTGTTATTTGCGGCATGGCAATCTCGTCCAACTTCTTCTTCCCCTACTTTTGAGGAACCATACTTCGAAATCGGCCTATTTTTTCGCTTTCTTCCTCGTTTTCACCCCTACCGATGGATTACTCCCAATCTATACTTCCGCTTTTCAAATGAAA